GATCACCTCTGTGGAGCACGGGGTCTTGAGGGCCTCTTGGCTTGACCCCCAATCCACCAACTCCGCCATTACATGACCACCCAGCACGTGACCACCACGTGCTCTTGGGGGTTTTCCTAAGTACTGGAAGTGCCCCTGAAGAGGACTCGATCCTAAACTCCAGCCAGGTCTTTGGGTGTCTTTTGAAAAGTGAGTGTGAGAACAGGACACAGGCAGTGGGTGCCACCGGAGTAGAGCAGAAGAAGGAGACCCGGAAGGGGAGAGCAAGCAGCCGGGCAAGGGGGAAGACCATTTGCTGACACACAGAAGATTCTCCATAGGTCAGCCACCAGGGAATGGAGTGTCTTGTCCCCCAGTGAGCCTGTCCAGGACCTGAGATGATGGAGGGAGGCTCTAGTGAAGGCCCATCCAGCCCTCCCTCCACCACAGCACACCAGAGAAGTACCTCTGGCCCCCTGCACCCACCCCTTCCTCCCACACAGGTCATCCGTGCTCCTTCCCTTCAGTTCCCTCCACCTTAGAACCACCGCCGTTACCTGTGGATGGTGTCCAGACCCGTCAAGGGCACTTGGGCTAAAGAGGTTGCTAAGACCTGCCTGAGATCCCACAGACGCCAACGGATGAGCTTTCTAAATGATACACGACAGAACTCTTCACACGTTGAGCTTCTCTAGGGCAATAAAAGAGGATTTGATCATTATCTGATCTTGCAGGTGTAACTACAACCGGAGCTTAAAGTCAGGAATTAGCAAGTCTGTAATGATAAGATGGTGGCCAACACTCTGTCACCCCATCTTCCCGGACCACAAAGAAAAACCAGCCAAGGGTGAGTTTTGTTGATGCTTCCTTCCTCCTCCAAGGCAAGGCCACATCCCAGCACAGCACCGAGTCGGGGGGGGACGCTCTGGGTGTAGGAGAACCTCATACAGGACAGCTTGGCCCCAGGTGGCTTTGAGGAACCCAGAAGGAGCAAGATGGCAAAGAAGGCAGGTGCCACGCCCAGGGATGACATGAGGTGCTTCAGAGGACGCGGAGGCAGTGCCGGTGACAGCTCCGGCGTGTCCCCATGTGCAGCCTCCACATCCTGCTGCACCCCAGCTCCCCGTTATTTGTTGTTCTGGTTTGGGCCGTAGAGCAGATCAAGAACCCCACGACACTATACCCATACCCCACGACATTATCATTCCCGTACTTGAAATGGTAAAATTCTCCCCCTGGCTTTTACTTTCTACAACGTCTCTCTCTTCCCCTCCCTTGTCCTGGACATACAGGCCACGGTATCGGCCTTCCCCACAGTGACACCAAGTGACACCTGCACGGATGATGCCCTCACACCCCTGGCTGGGCCAGAGTGGCTGAAGTTGGCACTTGACTCAAGGATGGCCCGCCACCTGTGAAGTGGCCCATGGGAAAAGGGGCTCTTGGACATGTGGCCTCGCCCAGATGATCTGAAGCAAGACGTATGATGAGAAAGAAGCAGAGGACAACAGCGGCTGACCCCAAGGGGAAGCTAGAGGACCGGCCTTGAGTGAAATTCTGGGGCAGAGCCAAGGGAGGGAATGGCCGGCCTGGCTGGGACGAGTGAGGGGGGCACCCCACGAGGAGAGGGGACAGAGCCTGATAGTAAGCAGGAGTGAAGACACGGGCTCCGTCGTTCCAGAACGCCAGCGGCTCCCAGCTTCCTACCACGAATTGTTTCAATTACTTAAGATAACTGCAGTGTGTTCATGTGTCTTCCAACTCAAATAAACCTTGAACAATTAACAACAACAATGGCCAAAATGTGTATAGTCATTGGGAAGTAACAGGATACCTAACAGTGGCTTGAACAAACAGGGTTTAAGTTTCTAACATCTTTGAGATCCAGGGAGAGGTGTGTGCAGGAATCAGCTGAGTGTCTTTGCAACAATCTTGACCGTTCCCTGAAGGACGCGAGGTGGCTGGGCAGGGCCAGTTCTCCATGTGGGGAGCGGTGGGGCCGCAGCTGAGCCCTCAGCAGGGCGGGGATGGCAGAGCTTTACCCCACACCTCCACAGCAGGCTCTGCACACCTCTAACTGGCCAGAGCTGGGGCGGCCGCGTGACCCAGCCAGGAACGTGGGTGGGTGCAAGGGGCACTGTCAATCCTCTGATGCCCTCCCCATTTCTGTCCCCCTCTCCCCTCCTTTAAAGTATTTCTGCTTGGATCCCTGGGTGGCGCAGCGGTTTGGCGCCTGCCTTTGGCCCAGGGCGCGATCCTGGAGACCCGGGATCGAATCCCACATCGGGCTCCCGGTGCATGGAGCCTGCTTCTCCCTCTGCCTACGTCTCTGCCTCTCTCTCTTTCTCTGTGTGACTATCATAAATAAATAAAAAAAATTAAAAAAAAAAAAAAAAGTATTTCTGCTTCCGATGGCCTGGCCTCCCAATGACCTGGGGCCCCAGTGCACTGCCCACAGCCTACTGGAGCTATTTTGCCTACTGGTGTGTGGAGGCAGAGATGCCTCAGCAACCAGTTGGTGTGGGATGACGAAAGCCCCGCTCCCCTGCTTCCACCTGGGACTCACGGGGTGTGCATTCCCCATCAGGGCTCTCCAGGAACCAGGCTGAGCTGGGACTGTCGACCCCTGTTTGGCCTCGCTTGCCCCACATTCTTCTCAGCCTGCCCCTGCTCTGCTGCTCATACACAGATCCCCCCGCCTCAGGGCTGCTCCCCTGGGAACCCAGCTAAGAGCAGGGGGGGCAGGATTATCATGATGGGTTAGACCAATCACGCTCCATTGCCTGAGGCTGACAAGTACACAAGTGGGGCTCCGTGAGCCAGGAAGGAGGGAAAGGATGTAGGCAGGCGGCTCGTGTTGTCCTGCAGCCACAGCTCATCACAGGAAAACGTGAGCAGAGAACTTGGATCCTTCACACACTGCCAGTGCGAAGGTACGATGGTGCGGCCACCTTGGAAAACAGTCTGGCATCTCTCAAAAATTTAGAGTGACCCACGACCAGCACTCCACACTCCTAGAGACATGAAAACATACATCCCCACCAAAACTTGTACATGAATATTCGTGGCAGCATTATTCATTATAGCCAAGAAGCAGAAACAACCCAAACATCTATCCACTGATAAATGGGTAAATAAAATGTTGCACTATCCATACAATGAAATATGACACAGATATAAAGAAGGATGAAGGGGGCAGCCCGGGTGGCTCAGCAGTTTGGCACCAGCCTTCAGCCTAGGGAGTGATCCTGGAGCCCTGGGATCCGTCCCGCATCGGGCTCCCTGTATGGAGCCTGCTTCTCCCTCTGCCTGTATCTCTGCCTCTGTGTGTGTGTGTGTGTGTGTGTGTGTGTGTGTGTGTCATTAATAACTAAATAAAATCTTGGAAAAAAAAAGGATGAAGTACTGACACACACCATAGTATGGATGAACCTTGAAAACATTACACCAAGAGGCCAGACACAAAAGGCTACATACAATACGACTGGATTTCTATGAAATGTCCTGAAGAGAGAAACCCAGAGACAGCAGATGGATGCTGCCGGAGGCCGGAGGACAGGCTGGGTGGATGGGGGATGAGGGCTTGTGGGGATAGGGGATTGTGGGGAGAGTTGCATGCTTCTGAATATACTAAAAAGCATTTGACTGTATATTTTAAAAGTGTGAATGAGGGGCACGTGGGTGGCTCAGTTGGTTAAGCACCTGCCTTCGTCTCAGGTCATGATCTCAGGGTCCTGGAATTGAGCCTCACATTGGGGCCCCTGCTCAGTGGGGAATCTGCTTCCCCCATCCCTCTGCCCATTCCCCTGTTGGTTCTCTCTCTCTCTCTCTCTCTCTCTCTGTCTGACTCAAAAACATAAAATCTTTTAAAAAAATAAATAAATGAAAGTGCGAATGATATGTGGATTATGCCTCAATGAAGCTACTGCGAATTCACACACAAGCAAAGAAGAGAAAGAGAGGAAAACATCCTTGATTGCACTCCCCAGGGCGAGCCACTGTGAACATCTCAAGTCAGGATATACTTTTAGCTTTTTTTTTTTTTTTTTTTTTTTATTTTTTATCCACACCTACATCTTACCAATAGAGTATGCTCTGAAGGGAAACTGCCAAAGGCTTTCAAGCACAGAAAACTATCAGCAAAAGCTATGAAGCAAATGTGTCCCACTGATGAGGAGCGTCAACCCTGGTGCTGCTCCTGATGGAGGCTGTTGTGTGTCTATTTGCTTTGCTCTGATTTGTCACCCAGTTTACTTATCCTCGGGTTCCCCCAATAGGCAGATTAATCCTCCTGGCCCCATTCTGTAGCCAGGGCAACTGGGGACAAGGCATATTCACTCCCATTCTGATTTCTTTTTTAAGATTTTATTTATTTATTTTAAAGAGGGAAAGCGCACATGAGTAGGAGAGGTAGAGGAGGAGGGAGAGATAGAATCTCAAGTAGACTCCACACTGAGCCTGGAGCTGGATGCAGGGCTCGAACCCAGGACCCTGAGATCATGACCTGAACTGAAACCGAGTCAGCCGCTCAACCAACTGTACCACCCAGGGTCTCCCCACCATCCTGACTTCTTCCCAGTTTGGGAGCCTGAAGCGTCATGGGTGAAATCCTGGGGGCTGTGGAGGGCACCCATTCAGGCCTGGGCAGAACAAAGGAGAAGCATCTGATTTGGTCCAGAAACATCTAACCAACTTAGAGAGAGAGGGTAAGACAAGATGGTCCTCAGGAGCACCCCATAACTCTCTTTGAGGGGTCCATGCCACTGACCTGTGCTCTCCATGGTAAAGTTAAAAAAAAAAAATAAAAGGCTGGTTGGGGGTGACAGGCCTGTTTGCACTGGAGCCACTTAGTGCAGCCAAGCTGAGCTGCACTGTTCAAATAGACTCCGCAGCCTCCAGACACCTGTGCCGAGGAGGACGAGGAGGGCGAGGCAGGCAGGAGGCTGGGCACAGGTCCCCGGGGGCTTCCCACCTCTCCTCCCGTAGGCAACCCCAGGGTCCTGGCAAGTCCTGGCCACGCCATGCCCCAAGCCAGGCTCTGCAGCTGCCGGGGCGGCCGGGTGCTGCCCCTGCTGCTGGCCTACGTCTGCTACCTGCTGCTCGGCGCCACGGTCTTCCAGCTGCTGGAGAAGCAGGCGGAGGCTCAGTCCAGAGACCAGTTTCAGTTCGAGAAGCTGCGCTTCCTGGAGAACTACACCTGCCTGGACCAGCGGGCCCTGGAGCAGTTCGTGCAGGTGAAGGGGAGCTGCTGGTGTGGGATGGTGGGCGGAATGGGGGTTCCTGAGGCAGGTCCAGAGCTACGCCGCGGGGTCTGATGCCCTGTTTGGAAGCAGCGTGGGGGGGACTGGTGCTGGATTCTGGCCCCAGGTCTAGAACTAGATTGCTGCGTGACATTGAGCAGGTCGCTGACACTCACTGGTCCCAAATCTCCCCCATCTAGAAGGCGAGGAGAATAACCCCATATGTGCTGCAGACATTTGCAGCCAATCAAAAGCCCTTTTTAAGCTGCTGCTTGCTGCATAGACGTGGACTGTGTGTCAGTGTTATCAACACTTTGCAAATTTCCTTCTCCCAGGCTCTGCCCTCCCCTCCGCACCCCCAGGGCTGCTAATCCTCTGTCCTCTCCCCGTCCACATCTCTGGGCTGGCCACACTCGAGGGCTATGGGCGGGAGACACAAAGAAAGATGAGGAGCAGCCGCCGTACTGGCCTTCCCCCGCCTGGTGAGCAGTGGCGGGGCGACAGCTTGGCCAGCAAGGTGTGCGTAGGGGGCTCTCTCTGGTGGCAGAGCGGGCCCCAACTCCCTCTGTCTTAGAGGCAGGGCAAAACCAGGGTGTTGTGAACGCCTTTGAGATCAGGGGAGGCTGTGAATGACAACACCAACCACAAAGGAACAAGCCGAGTACAGAGTCACCGCAAAGATAACTGGCACTTAGTGAGCATTTACGAAATGCCTAAAACAGTGGAGAACGGGGTCACCGTGATGGGGTCGGAGCAGTCACAATCCATCCTCTGGAGCCACCTTTTAGGTGTATTTCCTCATAATAACCTATTACTATCACCGGCTCCTGCTGGCAGATGGAAACTGAGGCACAGAGGAGTGGAGTGTTGGCAAGACTGCCCAGTCAGTGATAGAGACAGAACTCACCCCCAGGCCAGTTGCTCTTCACCATGCAAATTAGCAGAAGTGCTGGGTTGGGGGGTGGGCAGGACACAACCGAGAGTGGCAGCTCTCAAAGTGTGGACCGGCTGCAACACATCACCTGGGGGTCCCTTAGAAACGCCAACGATCGCACCCCACCCTGGACACTCCAGACCAGGAGTCTGGGGACAGGGCCAGCAGCCTATCGTTAAAAAGCCCTCCAGACCATGCCCATACCCTCAAGATGGAGAAGAGCTGGCCTAGAAGATGAGGGGTGGGCTGGGTGGTCAGAGAGAATTTTCCGCAGATGTGAGAGACCTGTCCAGGCCCTTTCTCCCGGGAACTGAGGCTTCCTTGCTTTCCGCCAGTAGAGAGCTGGGGCCATAGCACCCCTATGGGGCTGAGAAGGGCTCTGGAGCCTCCCAAGACCTCGGGAATAAGGCATTTGCCCTGGAGGCCCTGACACCTCCTCCTCCCTCAGCCTAGCGTCAGAGGTGAAACCCCAGAGCCAGAGGGTGTGGGAAGGATTGGTAGCAGGGATCTAACTAGCTCTGTAAACCATGACGGCAGCCTCAGCCACTGATTAACAACACCCCACCCTGACCTCCCCGGCCTCCTTGTGGGGGAGCCTCAGTGGCCAGGGGACGGCTGGCCAATAGGAAGAATGCTGGGATAGGATTCCAGAACATACAAGACTAGTACAATTACAAGAGGAAGAAGCTACTAACAGCACCAGAAGCAGTATTAGAGACTCCTCCATAAGAAAAAGGCCTTGCCTGGTTTCACAGGACTCATGTCTGACTTTCTCTACCACATGTGGATGCTTAGAGAAAACTAGAAGGTCACGTTGGGGGCCCCACACTCAGTACCCTCACCAAATCAAGGCCCCTTCCTCAGCAGGATGGAGAGCTTCAGGTTGACCGTGGCCCTAGGGCAAGTGCTAGTCCCAAGGGTGAGGGTCTTGAGAGAGCGAGCATGTTCCAGAATGTTCCATCCTGGCCTCTCTGGGGGTGTGGGAAAGGGAGCTAGACCAAAGTCCACATGTCTGAAGGGACCAGTTATGCCAAAGTGAAGAAAAGCAGACAGCCTGTGTCATGACTCCTAGACAGGCCCAGCCTACCAGGGCCACCCCACCCTGGCAGGGAGCACACTCACCCAGGCAGCGAGGAATTGGTTCCCATAGGAACTAGGAACTGGAGTGGCCCCCTCCCCCACGGCCTCCTCCTGATTTGGGAGCCCTATCAAGTGGCAAGGCTGTGCTGCTGCCTGGGACAATGCAAGGCGACAGGGGAGGGCCCTGGGGGAGCAGACTGGAGAGGGATCCCTAACCATCTCCAAGAGGGCTGGGCCCAGGGACAGAGGGGCTTAGGCTTGAGCCCACAAGGGTTCAGGTTGTGTAAACACATACTCAACACACGTGCACACACATGCAACACAGAGGACCCATGCCCATCGCATGCATACAACATACCACACATCAACACTGGCTACACCTCTGACCTTTGGTCTGGCCTCTGATGGAATTTCTCTTATAGGCCTGGACTGGGCCTCACCAGGGGATAGCAAAGAGCAAAGCAAAGCAGCCAGCTCACAGGGCAGTTCAGAGAACACAGGGTTCCCTATCTCCACCATCCACCCTGTGGGAGGGCAGCCCCATGGCTTCCCTGCGGCCCCCAAACTCCACGTTCCCCAGGAAGCCCTTCTGGGAGCATCCAACCTGAAATCTTCCCGTTGTCCTCACAACACACCTACGCCTCCCACTGCTGGCCATAGACAGCATCTCCCACCTGGCTCACCCTTTCAACACCCTCTTCCTCCTTAGGCCCCTTTCCCCTCCCCCAGCCCACATTTACAGCCCACACCTCAGCCAGCCCTGGCCTATGGAACAAGCAGTGGATCTGGAACCCAACGACCTTGGGCAAATCGTTTTGCTACTCCGATAGCCTTATCTACAAAACGGAAATGAGAGCATCTAAGAATAGAGTTAAATGAGATCAGAGGAAAGCACCTAGCAGAGAGCTTGGTCACCAGCAGGGGCCATCAGCTACCTCTTCCTCCCGCACCCCCCACCCCGCCCTCACACAGGTCATCATGGAAGCCTGGGTGAAGGGTGTGAACCCCAAAGGCAACTCCACCAACCCCAGCAACTGGGACTTCGGCAGCAGTTTCTTCTTTGCAGGCACGGTTGTCACCACCATAGGTAAAGGGTCGGGGTGGGGAAGGGCCTCCCCAAAGCCCCTGTCTTGGTTTTGGGCTCCCCAGAGCAGACACTGAGACCAGGATGTGGTTTTATCTAGGAGATGATTCCAGGAAGTGCAAGTCGAGAAGCGGGAACGAGTCAAAAAGTGGGAACATAGGACAGGAAAAGAAAAGAGGCAGCGAAGTTCACACTGATGAGCAGGGTCCTAGTTCGGGCCACTGGCCTCGCTCCCCCTGGGACCCTCTGAGAGGCCAAGCAGAGCCCCAGCCTTAGCACGGTGCCTTGAGGAGCGAGGAAGCGGAGTAGCTACTTAGCTACGGACTCCGGCCCTTGCTGGCTGAGAGCTGATCCTGGATGAGCCAACTCTCCAGTACTTGAAACTCGCCCACAGACCAAGCCAAACTCCCAGGGAGAGAGAGATGCAGGGACTTGGGATGGAGAGCCACACCTGTGTGTACAGGAACAGTCCCCCAAGCTGCAGGTGGTGTCCCAGGTGTCCCGAGGGCACAGATCACCAACAGCATCTGCTATGCCCCCTCACCTAGAAAACCCATGCCACCTCTCCCAAGGAAGCCCCCAGACCCCCGATACTCATGGTTTCCCCATCCATTCAATTCAGTTCAATTCTACACACCTTCCTCGAGCTTGGGTGAAAACTGAAGCGGAGGGAGTTGGATCAGACCCAGGCAGGCTCAGACCTCCAGGAGCCTCTGATCCAATGAAGAGGAATAAGATAAGCACACAAAAAACAATAGTACAAGGCAACATAGACAATTAGACATTAAGCACTATGGGGAATCACTTCCAGTAGAGAGGAAGAGGGTGGCAGTCAGGAGGGCTTCCTAGAGGCAGTGTCATTGGAGATGGGCCTTCCCAGACAAGCAGGAGTCTTACAAATAGAGATCATTCTAGCAGAGGGGGTGGGAAAGAAGGTTCTTGGAAACAGAGGAGCTTCCCCTCTACCCCCCAGAGGTAATAGAAGACCATCCTCTGCTGCAGTCTCTGGGGGAGGCAGTTCTGAACTCTCGCTTCTCCACATTTGCACCCTCCTCCTTGCCCTGCAGGATACGGCAACCTGGCACCCAGCACGGAGGCAGGCCAGGTCTTCTGTGTCTTCTACGCCTTGGTGGGCATCCCACTCAACGCAATCTTCCTCAACCACCTGGGCGCAGGGCTGCATGCCCACCTGGCTACCCTCGAGAGGTGGGAGGAGCAGCCCAGGCGCTCCCAGGTAGGGCCCCTTCCTCCTTACAGTCCTGCTGGGATGAACTCTGTTGAGGGGTGAAAATAGAAGTTGACACTGAGCCGCGGTTCGGCGGGCAGGGTCTGAGGGGTAGATACTTGTGGAGGAAAGGGTTACCCGGAAGCAGAAGCTGAATTGTGATCAGGCTGGAACAAAGACTTGGACAGGCCCCTCATTCTGCAGCACGTGTGTGGCCATCAGAGGGTTCCCACAGGGGGGCTGAACTGGCCAGGGCCATATGCTGGCCTCAATCACACACAGGGTGGCCTCCCTGGGAAGGGTGTGCCCTTGGGCCAGGCACTTCTCTGTAGCCAAGGTATGCCTCAAAGATGCTCAGAGCTGGAGGCCACTGGCTGACGGCTGGTCCACAAGGTCTTCTTTGAAGGGGGATCTGGGCGGTGCATCTCTGTGGTCATCCTAGAACTCCAGCCCCGTTGAAAATAAACTCCAAGCCACCCAGCACACCCCCAGGGCCCACCCCCTTGGCCAGCCCCTTGCAAAGCCAGGCTCAGTAAGGGAGGGCAGAGGTGCAGAGGAATCTGGGATAGTTCAGATGGCGGTCCTCCATCCCAGATCTGAGTCCCCAGGAGGCCTGACCAGATGTGACCCTCAGGCCCAAAGGAGTCTCCAAATTCCAACCTGACCCACTCATGAAATCCCTCTGACCAAATATTTCCCTGGCCTGAGCAAAAGCGCACACACAGAATACAACCACCAGCCCAAAGGTCTCCAGGCCAAAAAAGGGAACGTGGCTATGGCCCAGCTCCACTCCCAGATTTGTATCCCCCCTCCTCCATCCTGGGGCCTTCCAAGTAGACTCAGACACAGACTCTCTTGTTCCCAGCTGCTGCAGATCCTAGGTCTGGCTCTGTTCCTGACCCTGGGGACACTGGTCATTCTCATCTGCCCACCCATGGTCTTCAGCCACGTGGAGGGCTGGAGCTTCGGGGAAGGCTTCTACTTCGCCTTCATCACTCTCAGCACCATCGGTTTCGGGGACTATGTTGTCGGTGAGAACAAGGCAGTCACGCATCTCAGGGCAGGGGCCACAGGGATTGGGGGGATGGGGAGATGTCAGCAGGAGGTAAGTAGTGAGAATCAGATGATAGTCCCTGGTTCTTTGAGGGCAACAAATGGTTTGTGAGGCCTCTGGGCATTATCACAATATCCTTAGACATCGGTGGCCCTGGGACCCATGACCCTCTCCCCCAGGGACCTCCACTGCAGATCCTTGGTATGGAGAGGCCGGCAGAGACCCTTGTGGCATTTATCATGTCTCCTTCCCTTGCCAGGCACGGACCCCAGCAAGCATTACATCTCCGTGTACCGGAGCCTGGCCGCCATCTGGATCCTCCTGGGCCTGGCATGGCTGGCGCTGATCCTCCCGCTAGGCCCCCTGCTTCTACACAGGTGCTCCCAGCTCTGGCTTCTCAGCAGGGGACTCAGCCTCAAGGACGGAGGAGCCCCCGAGATGGATGGGCTCCCCAGACCTCAGAAGATCCCCATCTCTGCATGAGGTCTCCAGTGGGCCCAGGAGCTCCTCCTGCTTCCCCCACCCCACCCCTGCATGCCTTCTGGACTTCCTGTTCCATGTCTTTCCCCACTCCCTTCCCAGCCAGGGCTGGCCTCAGGAGCTCTCCAGAGAGCAAAGGAGGTGGAATGTCCAAGCAAGTCACTGCAAGGTGATGGAGGACAGGATGAATGACAGATGTGTGTGGAGTGAGACGTGCGTTGTCCCAAAGCCCCTCGCCCAAGTGTGAATCCAGACATGGATCACTCTGGCCAAATCTCCATGGTGCCCTCCCTGTGTCCCCCCACCCAGGAGACTTCATACAGTTCTGCAAACAAAGGGTGACTTTATTTTCAGCTCATTTGGTACAAGCACAAAGTGATCACTCAGGCCCCCACTGTGTGGAGAGTGCCAGGCTCTGGGAGACCCAACAGTGAAAGATCCTGCTCTCCGTGCACGTTTCATCCACCAGAAGGACTAGACAAGCAGAGAGGTCCCAACCCAGTACCAAGATGCTATGATGGGGTAGAGGGGTCCGACAAGAGCCCATCGGGGTGACTAGCAGGGAAGGTCAAGGAGAGAGGCTGGGCAAGGACTTTGGAGCATCTACGCGCAAATGGGATTATCCGCCCTCAGGAAGCCGGCAGCTGCTTCTCAAAGCAGTTCCCCTTGCCCAGAGGTCTAGAGCTCTCCGTCAACAAGGCGGAGCTCCTGGGTGTCCCACCTACTTTCCTGAGTGTGGCCTCCCCTGATTCCTCAGGGCACCCCTTGACCTCATCACCCCCTCTGAGCGCCTGTCTTAAGAGCCTTTCCAAATGCACCCCCAGGAAACGAGCTCCATGGAGGCCAGGCCTCCTTTGGGAATGTGCTCTGCAGCCCTGGCCTTTCTCCTACCGGACTGTGACATCTCTGGCCAGAAGGAGAGGAGAGACTGAGACCAGTCCACCCAAAGCCCAACCTCATGGAGGACTCCAGACCTCTGCCCCTACCTCTGCCATCAAGGCAGGCCCACAAATGGCTGGGAAGGCCCTGGACAGGACTGAGGCAAGGCTGCGAAGCAGAGGAGGCTGAGATGGGACACACAGGGAAGGATCTACAGCAGCAAGAGCCTTGACCTCTTGTAGACAAGATCTACACCCCAGGACTTGCTGATATGGAGAAGAAGCCTGGGAAACTGAAGATCCCCCAGGGGACTCCTTCATGCCCTGGACCCTTCCTCCAAGAAGGGAGGTAGGGAGCCTCTTCAGAAGCAGGGAAAGGACAAGCCCACTGGTCAAGGATCCTCTTGCCTCCCAGATTCATAGGCAAGTGGTGATCAGCTGGGCTCCCTCAACTGTGTACACAGGGGGAAGGGGGGTGTTACAAGAGGACCTGACAGGTGGCAAGTCCTTGGTGATAGTCCCAAGGTCCAGGAACTTAGGCTGGGGCCCTGAGACAATAAAGTTGGCTTTTACTTTCTCTTCCTCCGGCGTGCAGTCTCCAGGAGTCCCTCCCACTGCTGCTACCGTAGGACAGCTGAGGCCCCCTGGGTCTGGGGCCCGGGTCACCCTGCAGCCCGGCCTTTGTCCCCGAGCTGGGCCTGGGGGTGAGCCCTCCACACACCCTCGAGGCGGAGCCAGATGCCCACAGCTCCGGCCTCGGCCTCGTTTTGTCGCTGGGATTGGATCCCGGTGCGGGGTGGGGCCGGGCTGTCCCACTCCCCAGCAAGCCTCCTCCGCTGAGAAGACCGGGCGCAGGCAAGCGGCGGCCCGTGGCCCGTGGCCCGTGGCCGGGAGGGGCCCAGCCGAGCCCCGAGCTCCCGCCCTCCGCGCCGCCGCCGGGCCCATGGTTCCAGGCCCGGGGCTCCCCGCCTCCCCGGCGCTGTGCGGACCGCGGGCCCGAGCGGCGGCGGCGGCGGCGGCGCGGGGCCGCAGGGCCCCGGAGTGCGCGGTGCCGGGCACGCTGCGGCTGCTGCTCGCCTACCTGGCTTACCTGGCCCTGGGCACCGGCGTGTTCTGGGTGCTGGAGAGCCCCGCCGCGCGCGACTCCAGCGCGAGGTTCCAGCGCGACAAGTGGGCTCTGCTGCGGAACTTCACGTGCCTGGACGGCCCGGCGCTGGACTCGCTGATCCGGGTCAGGGGCGAGCGCGGCGGGGGCGGGGGCTCCGGGGCGAGCGAGGGCGCCGGGGCACGGCGGGGGGGGGGGGGGCCGGCGCGCTCCCCGCGGGCTGGGGGACGGGGTGGGAGCCCGACGCGCGCAGGCCCGGGAGCTCGGCCGCGGGGGCCCCGGGGGCGAAGGGGAGGGCGGGGAGGGTTGGGTGGCTCGCGGGGGGGGGCGCTAGCAGACGGATGGAGGTCCCCTCGGGCTCCCTCAGGCCACCCCCGACTGGGGCCCGCCCGAACCGCGCGTGCTTTAACGTCCCGGGACCCCCTCGCTCCCCGGGCCCCACAGCCGAACCCCTGGCCCCAAATCCCCAGCCCGCAGTCCCGGTGCCGAGTCTGAGTCCTTGGAGTCTGAGCCCCAGAGTGGCCAACCCGAAGGCAATCCCCAGAAGGTAGCAGGCAAATGTTTCTGGGGGGACGTGACCAGGCACTGGGGCCGCGGTAGAGTCCTGAGCCCTTGGGCCTGCCCCGGGGCAGGGGAAGGACCGGCTCTGCTAAGGACCTAGCGTAGCGCCTCCACCCACCCACCCCCACCTCTACACTTTCACAAATACAGCAGGACTGCCCGGTCCTGGACGCTGGGCAGCAGCCCCTTGGCAGAGGCCGCCAACCTCCCTTCCCGCAGCCTCCGCCCAGGGAAGATGACAATGAGGGCAATGACAGCAATGAGTGCTTCTGTGGAATCCATTGTTCTGGGGGGATTAACTCGTATTAACTCATTTTGTCCTCACCTGCCTCACAGGTAGGTACCATTTCATCATCCCATTTTCTGAGATAAAGAAACTGAGGCTCAAAGAGGTTAAATACGACTACCTGGCCGCATAGGCAGGGAGCTGGGCCTGTTAACCACCAAGATGGGGCTCAGAAGGGATCTGAGGGAAGAAGGGTGTTCCCCAAAATTCCAGAAGGGCTTTCATCTCCAGCGGCTTCTCTTCCAGCCTCTCATGCTCCACTCACACGTCACACCTCCCTGAACCACCCTGTGGCTTCCAGCATGCCCAAGATAAGGGTCTGGTGTCTCCAGCCCAGACCTCCCCCTGAGTACATGCAACTTCCTCAGATTCCCCCAAGGTCAAGAGCAAGCAGCGCTCCTCCTCCCAACCCCGACCCCCCACCTATTCCCTGCATCCACACACTCTCACAGTGCTCTTAGAGGCTTCCCTCACTACCCCCACCAAATAGGACCAGAGGCCTAGGCTTCCGAGCATTTCTTCTCTGTTCCTCCTGGACCACTTGGGGCCAGGATACAGGCCCTCTCCCTCTTGCACCCCTGCAAGAGTCTCTCCACTTCTGGTCTGCTCACACCTTGCTGCCAGCTGCCAGGGAAAACACAAACCTGATCTTGCCTCCTCTTTGCTGGGTGACCTTCAGAGAGGCCTGCTGCTCCATCCCTGGCACGGCAGAGCCAAGCATGGCGTGGCTCCCAGCTGCCTTTCAGTCTCCCTGTACTAGATCCCAGGCCCCGTCCTGCCCCACAGGCTCTGCCCACTGGGGCCCATCTCCCTAAATGGCCTTCCAGTAGAAACAGTCCTTTTTGCCTATCAAAGAAGGCTCAACTAAACCATCACCCCCACCATGAAGCCTTCTGCCTCTATATCCATCAGAATGAACACCCTTCCTCTCTGTGTTCCCGTGCTCCTATTATTATATCTGTAACAGTGATGGCGATGGCAGCCGCTAACATTTACCATGTCCCAGGCACTGTTCTAAGTCTACACCGAATACCTCATTTCACCCACCCAACCGCTCTAGGAAGTAGGTGCTGTTAGTATTCTCATTTTGCAGATAAGGAAACTGAGGCACAGATAAGTTGGGTATCTTGTTCCAGGATCATACTGCCTTAATGCCCAAAGCTGCACTGACCGCACCCTATTGGCGAAGTTTGTCTCTGTCTCACTGAGGACAGAGGTCCTGTCCTTTACATCTCCGGGACCCCTGGAACACCACATGTCCTGCCCGGCAGTGCTTGTTGCAAGGATGGGAGTAAGCAGGGGAGGGGGGAAGGCATGGTGTTCTTCCAGCTGGTGGGACATCCTGAGCTGACCTGAGCTCTAGGGTAAGGAAGGGGAGGAGCTGTCCCCCGTGGTCCCTGCCCCCCGTGGTCCCTGCCCCCTGGAGAAGTCCTGGATGGAGGGGAAGAGCCTCCTTGCCCTGGAAGGGCTGAGATCAAAGAGCGGTTGTGAGGATTGTCCATGACGTGTGTGTGTGTGTGTTTGCACACACACGTGTGCACGGTATTCATGCACACATGTGTATGTGTCTGGGTGCAGGGGCCCAGTTGCCCCCCAGAGCCTGGTGGTCACTGCAGCCTCTCCTCCAGGGCATCATCCAAGCCTACCAAAGTGGGGACATTGTCCTTGGCAACACTACCAGCATGGGGCGCTGGGAGTTCGTGGGCTCCTTCTTCTTTTCCGTGTCTACCGTCACCACCATTGGTAAGAGCAGGGTGAGACCAGAGTGGGTGGCACTGAGGAGCCTGGCCTCCTCCCTAAAGGATGGGGGACAGGGGACCAATGCCTTTCAGAGGGGAGGGGTCACCAGGGCCTGTGACCCATAGTGTCATCAGGCCCCGCAGAGGGGCCACCACCTGTGGGCAGGATCGCAGGCTCCCCTGGGATCTGCGGAATCAGTTTCTGCATTTTACCAGAGCCCCTAGGGGGTTTCTGTGCAAGTTTGAGAAGCGCTGCTCTGGAGGGTTCTGCGTCACGCGACCTTTCAGGAAGCAGAGGGTCTGCCCGGTGCAGCACTAAGGATGCTTCTCGGCTTTATAAGTTTCCGGCGCCAAGCCCAGCCCACGCGGAGCCCGGGGTGGAGGTGGGGGGCAAGGAAAACCTGGGAAGGAAGGAGGAGCAGAAATTCACAAAG